TTTCCGGACTTCGGTCTGATGTCGAGGCAAGCTCGAGGAATGTTTGTATGCTTGATGTCTTCGTGATTCTTTCATGTGTTTGTTTATGTATTCCGGGCTTTGGTCCGATGTCGGGGCAAGGCCGAGGAAGGTCTAGCTTATATGTTATGTGTTATGTGTTCCAGACTCCGGTCTGATGTCGGGGCAAGCCCGAGGAACGTTTATGTGTTTATGTTATATGTTTATGTGTCATTTGCCTATTGCTATGTTATATGTATACCGGACTTCAGTCCGATGTCGGGCGGGGCCTGATGCCGGACTTCGGTCTGATGCCGGGCGGGGACCGATGCCGACGGGGCCGATGCCGGACTTCGGTCCGATGCCGGGCGGGGCCTAATGTAGTGGGCAAGGCCCAATGTTTGTTATTACGTGATTATGTGTATGGTATGTGGTAGTTTGGGGAGACTCACAACTTTTAGCCTGGGATATGTAGACTCTGATATTTGGCACATGATTTTGATACAATATTTTATTATGATAACTTGAGATATATTACATATGGTTTTGTGAAATGACAAGTGGTATTTATGGTTTTTATAAATAATCAAAACGAAATTTTTGGACCATATTTTTGGGATGTTTCATCGAGAATGCCCTGTAGTGCTTTAAACACGAACAAATAATAGGTTGGAAGGCTGATTAGAACCGATTTTATTAGGGTAAGGCGCCCACCAAATGAAAGAGATTTGGCTTTCCAGGTTGATAATTTTGACTTAAACTTATCTATAATAGGCTGCCAAATTTTCTTTAGTGCCATATTCGCACCAACTGAAATTCCCAGATAGGTAAACGGAAAGGTGCCTTCCGTGCAACCCATAATTCTTGCCAATCGTTGAACCTCCTGAGAAGATACTCCTATACCAAAAAGTCTGGATTTGAGGAAGTTTACTTTGAGACCGGATGATATATGGAAACATTTGAGAATCCGTGATAAGTTCTTTATAATTTCACTGCACCATTCACCTGCAAAAATAGCGTCATATGAGTAGAACAGATGAGAGAGTCGTGGATCATCATTTGGAAGTTTGATGCCTTTGATTAACGATTTGCTGTAGGTGTTGTTGATTGCTATGTTAAAGCCTTCCATTGCTATAATGAAGAGAAAAGGTGAAAGGGGATCACCCTGCCAGACACCTCATGAGATGGGAAATTCAGCTGTTGGAGACCCGTTGACAAGCACTGAAGACATTGATGATGTGAGACATCCCCTGATCCAAGATCTCCATTTGGATCCAAATCCCATTTGCATCATGATTGAGTCGAAATAATTCCAATTAATATAATCGAAATCCTTCTCAAAATCGATTTTGAGGAGGAATAGTTTTTTCTTGAACTATTTGGCCCATGAGAAGATTTCATTGATTACAAGGGGAGCACTAGAATGTTCCTTCCGGGAACAAAAGTTGATTGAATATCACAGATTACGGATCTAATTACTGATTTTAACCTTATGTCAAGAACCTTGGCGATGATCTTGTACATACACCCGATAAGACGGATAGGTCTATAATCTACAAGAGAAATTGGATCGCTGACTTTGGCGATCAAATTGATGAAAGACGGGTTGCATCCTTTTGCCAGTGATGCGTTTTGCTCAAAGTATTTAACAAAGTTGATGATGTCACCAGACATTAGTTCCCAATTTTCTTTTATGATTTTGAAGGTAATGCCATCGGGTCCCGGAGCCTTGTCACCACCACATCTCTACACCATATTTTTTATTGCCTAAGGGGTTATAGCCAATTTTAGTGATTGTTGTTGATCCAGAGATAGTTGCTTGAAGAGTGGGCTAATTAATAGGGGTCGAATTGGCCAATTTTCTTTGAATTTACTAGCAAAGAACCAGAATGTTTCCTGTTTTATTGACTCGGGGTTCACCTCCCAGGACCCATTGATCAAGAGACCATGGATTTTATTTTTCCTGTTCGTATTTTTTAGCGAGTCGTGAAAGAAGCGGGAGTTTTGGTCCCCATCAGTCAACCATTTGATTTTTGCCTTCTGCTGGAGATCAAGTTTGGCAATGTGTTCCATTTCCAACAATTTAATTTTATCCTCCCGCCATGTTATCCTTTCTGATTCTGAAATATACCTGGTCTTTGCTAATCTTTCCATCTCGTTCACCTTGGACCTTATTGCAGTTAACGAACCATGATCATTTTTGGAGTCGTCCTTCTTCCATTTTCGAATTTCATCCTTTACATGTTTTAATTTTGCTCCGAATATCAGGTGTGCCATATCCGTGACAACTAGTCCACACATTAGTAAATTCTTTACAAAATTCCTCATTAAGCATCCACGAATTGAAGAACCGAAATGGTGGAGGCCCAAAATTTGCGATGGTTGGGGACAAATGAAATTTAAATAGACAAGGAACCGGTCAATTTTGCTGAATTTATGGCCTTCCTCCCTGTAATAAGTATACTTTAAGCCACCCATTTTAAGCTCCTTTAACCTAGCGTTGGCGATGAATTGACTGCATTGAAGTCACCTAAAAACACTCAAATCCCGTCACTGGGATGAATTGAATCTTTCGTCCTTCCTGCGTCGGTATGCCGGAGGGTTAGAGCGGCATATGTGAATTATGTGGCTGACATTGAATTTCAAGATCTTTATTTTATTTTGAATTTCAAAGGAACCTCTCTCTCTCTCTCTCTCTCTCTCTCTCTCTCTCTCTCTCTCTCTCTCTCTCTCTCTCTCTCTCTCTCTCTCTCTCTCTCTCTCTCTCTCTCTCTCTCTGTGTATATATATATATATATATATATATATATATATATATATATATATATATATATCCTTGTTTGATTTATTACTTTCTTATCCTATTGAAGCTTAATTTCATTATCCATGCATATTTAATATATATATATATATATATATATATATATATATATATATATATATATATATATATATATATATATATATATCCTTGTTTGATTTATTACTTTCTTATCCTTGTTTGATTTATTACTTTCTTATCCTATTGAAGCTTAATTTCATTATCCATGCATATTTAATATATTTGGAGGTATGTGAGTTATATAATCAGATCAGGTTCAGCAGTCCCATAAGAGCCTTACACCCTTCAATATCAAGCCATTCGGCTGATTAGGAAGCCACACTGAAGGATAGATGTTAAGAATCAAGGAAGTCCCACTTTTAAGGTTAGCCTCTATTAATGACCCGATTCAGAATAACATATAACAATCATTTCAAATGCACCATGAAATCCATCTCAAGATCAATAAATAATATTTAAAAATAACCATGAAAGCAATTTCAAGGTAAAGGAAGAGGTATAAACTAACATTTTGCTCCCAGTGATTTGCACAAAATAGTAGATAAACAGTGTAATCATCCAACTGAAATTGACCGGTAAGATTGGAAGAAATCATCTCCCCACAACAATATCTATATTTGGGAAATTATCATCATATATCGGCTTTGATGAAGAAATGAGGAGTCGGACACTTGAACGTTAATGAAATTAATGATGTGTTGCCTGTAAACTTTCTGAACATAAAATATAAACTCATAAACTTACTCGAATGCACAATCTGTTTATTTATTTACAACCATCAGTTCTTCCCTAAACAGTGAAACCCAATAAAAATCAAACTAAATCATAATCACAAATATAAAAATTATGCGTGTTTTTATTGTACCTTTCAGAAACCTCTGTGCTTTTCTCCACCAAAAAAATATGAATAAGCTTACATATTTAAAAACCTTAAAAGGAATTATACAAAAACTCGTTACTACATAAAATCTATGGAAAACCAGGAAAAACATGAAGAGCTCGAACCTGGTTATCAAAAAGATAACTATTTCAATGATTTGGAGAGATTACGTTCTTGCATAAGACATCAATTTCAATGAATTCGTACTCTTTTTTGGCTTCCCTTTCTTTTTCACCCATTAATAATATGGTGGAGAAGAAGACAGATTCACTGATACATAGATTAATTTAGGGCTCACCTTCTCAGCACCATATCTAAAGGATGTCTAGGTTAGAGAAGAAGAAGAAGCGAACATTGACAATTTTTGAATGGATAAAGGGTTCAAATCAGATAGTGGGGCGGTGATTTAATGAGATTTAGGGCACTCAATGATATCAAATTGAATGTAATCCTATTTTAAGGTGTAACTCCATGCAATTTAAAAGATCAGAAGGGCATATTAGGTAAATTCCCTATAAAAATTTATTGGTCGGAAGAGATGTCATGTGGCAATGACTCTTTTATTAGAATAGGAAGAAGAAGATGCTCCTCAAATATTCACATACAGATTCACAGGGCCTCAAAGCCTACTTAGAGATGTCATGTGGCAATGACTCTTTTATTAGAATAGGAAGAGGAAGATGCTCCTCAAATATTCACATACAGATTCATAGGGCCTCAAAGCCTACTTACTTAACTGACAAAGGCTTGATTGACAAGTGCGACGAGTAGATGAAGATTCTACAAAAGTCTACAAATAAGTAAGGCTAAGGGGAGTGGTAACACTCTTAGCACCTTTCCACATCAGTTTTTTGGTTGCCACCTCATTTTTTTCCATTTAACACCTAAGGTTAGCAATTGGTAAGGAGTGGTAACACTCCTAACACTTCATTTTTTTCTAATTTAATTAAATTACTTTATTTTAATAAACAAACATTTTTTATGCATGAATATTAAAGAAATTTTAGTTTTTTAAACCACAAACATTTAATATAATATAAATTAAATTTTATTTTTTTCTTTAAGATATTACTAAACCATTTTACAAAATATGAAAACAAGATGCATACCTCTAACAGGAAGGAAGAAGTGAACACAACATAACATGAAGGAAGAAGTGAACAGGACAAAACAAAACAGGGTGTGAATCAATTAACTTGATTCTATGAATACGCCACACAAACAAGGCAAAGAAATCAAAGTAGGACTTTAACACATTAACAGGGATCAATTCACTTGATTCCTTTATGAGACAAAGGTTAGTTGTGCAGAAGAAATTTGGGAATCTACTTTGGCTCCAACTATCTTATTCAACAAAGACCGTAAAAACTTAATTAAAAATGTCAAACAACCATACCCTATTTATACTAAACTAATTAGAATCCTAAACTTACTCAAAACCTTAAATTAGGAAAGTTTTCCCAAAATACCCCTGGGACCAAAACTGTCCCCGTTTCTGAATTAACCCAACAGGTTGTTCTCTTTCGGTGGAGAAATACACCATATTGATGAGAGAACCTGGTAAGAGCAAGTTTTCGCGAATAAGTTGATGTAAATTGAGGAAAAAAAAGAAAAATCGAAGAAAAAAAAGAAAAAGAAAAATCGAACAGAATCATTCAACTGCAATGAAAATCGGGAGAACTAATTACCTCCGATATCAAGAGCTAAATGCGAAACTTCATCTACCGGTGAATTCGCCAATGTTGCTGCCTCAATTTTATCGCCTTCCATCGTTGTTGTTCCTAAAACACTCACAAACACAGGCTGAAAATTTAATTAAAATGTGTTGATTTTTTAAATGCATGAAAGTATAGTTTTCTATGGTTTTTATATGCACAAAAGTGCAGTTTTCTAGTGCATAAAAATGCAGTTTTTAAGGGAAAATGTGATGTTTTAAGTGCAGAAATTTGCAGTGATCTAGATTCTAGTGTTCATGTGGTTACCTTAAGCTTGCACACTTTTTAAGTGAAAAACCATAAAGATAGAAATCAGAGTTATAATACAATATTATTATCCCTAATAAAACTTCCAAACCAAATGAGTAATCAACATCTAAAAATGATAATACAGTTGAGCATAGCCAAAACGTAGAGAAAGGTAATAATTCTTTAAATTACTTTTTAGGTATCAAATTGTAAGCATTTTCTCAAAAGGACCTACCAAAACTTCTTTGATAAAACAAATTAGTCGTTTTCATCCAATCTACAAGCTCAAAATGATAATCAGAATTAATTTTAATTCTTTTCAATTTCTAGGTCTGTCGCAAATCCATATAGAAAGTTTAACCACATAAATAGTGACAAAGCGTACTTAAAGCAAAATATCAAAGCCCCAAATTTAAAAGATGAACTATCGTGCAAAATCAATGTGAAAACGAGAGAAATAAAATAATGAAGCTCAAATTTGTTAATAATCAGAGCAAAGAGGAACAAACCGAAACAGGCTGCAAACATCTCGGCTGCTTCAATGGTGGAAATTCCATCACAAGCCTCCAGAAATTACCCTGCCAAGATACGATAAGTCTCAAACTTCGCCCGATTACTCAGACAACGAAAAATTCTTCATCATCGCCTCTAATTTAGGGTTTGGGTGTTTAGGGCTGGATGCAGTTTCTTGATTTTGATTGTTCGAATAACATGATCAAAACGAAACCGATAGATTTTATCAGTTTAAGAAAAGAAAAAAGAAACACAAAGAATCAAACATACATCGTCTCCACCAATAAGCTTCCATCCTCACCCTCTCTCTCTTCTCGCCAAAATGGTAACGAGGATAGGATAGCGACCCCTAGCGAGCGCTAGGGGGTGTTCATGGCTCGCTAGCAAGCTTAGCGAGTGGGCTTAACATCCCCACTCCGCTTAGCCTAAGTGAAGACTTGACTTACGTGCTCGGCTCAATCAAGAAAAAGTTATAAAGTCGAGTCTATTGAATGGTGGCAGAGGGAGCGAAGATCTAATAGTCATAAGATAAAATTGTGCAAAGGATACACAACCATAAGGCACTGTTGTCCTTTTTTTTATTCGTATTAGGAGTAGCTGTAACTTAGTCATTCGATTGTACTCAGATCAAACATGGCAATGTGTGTTAGTGTGCCCCCTAAGACTTACTTCTTGAGGACTAATCTACATTCTCAACTGATGGAAATCATTCAGAGATTTGTACCCTAATTTGTTTCATTTAAATGGGTTATACGTTGAGTAATGTGTCGATTAATATGTCAACTAAGCATGAAATATGCCAATAAAGCAACCCGTTACTATAAGATGATTTGTACAAAGGCCTTACTTCCATGTTATTTTTTGTACAGGCCAAATTTGAATGATGTTTTTTGAACATATATAAAACTTAGTTACCTTCGTAAGACATTTTCCCGATCGGGTAATATAAACATGTAGCTTATACCCATAATAATACATAACAATAGTACCATATTCCCATGCAAATAGGGTTAGGGGAGGTAGGATGGTCGGCAGCCCCAACCATGGGGAAGTGAGACTGCTTTCGTAGAAAACCTCCGACAAAAAGTTCAAAATGAAGAGGAAAATACAGATACAAATGCAAAAAGAATATGAAATAAAATAAAAATTGTTAAGGTGTGTCCATCCGAAATGATCTTTGCATAAGATCCTTGTATATAGAATGTCATCTCGCAATACGTATACCGATGAAGCATAATACAAATAAAGCCATGTTTTGGATAAAACAAAGAAGTAGAAAGATATATTCGATAAATTTTAATTCATATAATTATAAGTTGGGGCTAACCCACTTGACTAATATGGTGTATAATAAGGTGTTTCTAACAAAGAAGTCATTGGTACATATACTAACTTGCCGTTCTAAAAGAATTTACTTTTATATAATTCATCAAGTTAACCATTGATATTCTTGTAGGCGCATGAGAAAAAAGTTATTGGTTTGAAGTTTACCATTGCATTATATATACACGTAAACACACAAATATAATATATTTATAAAGAAGTGCTCAAGTTGGGGTTATCTTTCATAATGATTATTTATGTAAAAACTACGAAAAAGATGCTTATCACATGAGTTTGAATAAAATATTTGAACTTGTTTAATTAAGCGGTCTAACTGACACATGCAATTAAATGGGTAAGGTCAGGGTTTAGAATTTCAACTTTAAGTGGGTAAGGTTAGGGTTTAGAATTTTAACTTGAATATGACTCTAAAATGAATCGTTTATTTATATTCAAGTTTTTTGAATTTTTTAGATATTCAAGTTTTTTGAATTCTTTAAGTGAGTCATTTGGTAATGTCCAAACCATTTGGTTGTCAAGGTCAAGACTTCATGGTGTTCTTTAAAAGGAAAAATGGATGAAAACACCCATAGGCTCAATCAAATCAACAACACATGGTGTTCTTTAAAAGGGTTTATAAATCTCATAAATCATTATTTTCGGAATCAAATTCAAAGTATTATTGATGATGATCTACCAAGAAGATTTTAATTTAATTACATGACATCTAGATAAAACAAAACCATCATTAGGTGTTAAGCTGATATGTTATTATTTCGGCCCTGACTTTATTTAACATGTTGGGTTGGATTGGAAAACTCTCAATCCGTTTAACTAGACAACTCGTGTGGGTTATAGTTTTCAACATGTTACCCTAATAAATAGGTTGAACTCAAACTTAACTTAGCCTAACTCATTGTTACCCTTAATCATAACACATCATATTTTAAGGGAAGGAAATTATTAATCCCATTTGGAATAAGTATGAGATCGACATGCATTTTTTAGGAAAGGGAGGGGGAATTTATTTATGATTTATATGATTGTACACTATAACCTTATAAAACATAAATTGTTGTGTATTTAAAAAAACTGTTGTATACGAATCAACTCTCATTCGATGACCCGGTGGCAAAGTTAATAGAATTAAAATGGCTATTCTTGATTAAAGCCTTAAATGAGTATCATTTAGGTCAATGTTTTGAAAACTGGACCGGTCATCTTACCGGTTCGCAAGACCAAAGATCTAAAAACTGGATTACGTCATTATTACATCATAGTTATATATAATTATAACAAATACACTATATAAAAAACATGTAAAATTAAAATACCAATAAAATTTAAATAAAAAACTTATGTTCCATTATCACCTTTTACTTTATAATAGAGGAGAAACAAAAAAGTATTGTAAAATAGCCATTAATGATTAATAACTAATTAAAAATAATACTAATATAATTAGAAAAATAAGAAAGAAATGAAAGAGATGTATTGAATGTAGTATTTTTTGTGGGAAAAAAGTCACACTTTGCTTAGAAACCGTTGAACTACAATCCCAGGTTGGAACCTTAACCTCTTACGGTTGTCGAGAGATCTCAATCTACTACATCTACTCCCGGTGTAAACTGGATTTAGTCATAAAAAATTAGTTTTTACATATTGAGCTGGTTTTTTGTTGGTTATATCCGGTTTTTACCGGTTCATTAACAAGTGGTTTTTGGGTATAATAAACCGTTATCAAGGCCGATCCGGTTTTCAAAACTATGATTTAGACACATTTAATGGTATGAATTGTATGTTGCAGCTCTCACTCGGTTATGCAAACTAAAAGAAGGAATATTCATGGAAAGTTCCTCGTATATAACATCAAGCAACATCGGCAATACGTTCTTTAATTACCCATTCAATTTCAGTTCTTCATCAACTGAAGTACTAACAAGATGAATGTTCCCTTATTTGGGTGTGCACAAATGACAAATGACAAAATCATCAAACAATAACCAAACAAAGTATAAATAAATAGTGCATGAAATAATATTTACAGAGAATAATCCGAACAAAAAATCTCACATCTGACCCCGCAACGCGGGGTTACTCACCTAGTATATATATTAAAGTTATGAAAAGTTTTAACAGAGACATTTTAGCCAATTTTGGTCCCTTAAATTACATTTCCGGTCCCTCTATTTTTATTTGTGTGTCACTTTGTTAATTCTGCATTGCTTCTTTCTATTGTGGTTTATTTTTTGTTAGTGTGTCAAATCTATTACCTTCCGCCCCCCGCAACGCGGGGGGAACTTTCTAGTTATTATTATTATTATTATTATTTGGTTGCAGTTTGCCTGCCATCTGGAATAGCAAAGAGAACAATCGGGTTTGAAGGAGTTATGAAAGGAACATCGCATCTGAAGTAGCCTTTCCTCTCCAACTGCAATATGTCTCCACGCTTCAGTCTTCTCATATTTGAATCCCCAACACACCCCCAATCTCTTTCTTTGTATCCCTGTTCAACACTGGAATAAAATCCTCTTTTTTTTTCATCTGCATCAAAAACACATAATTAATTAATTAATTATAAGTCAGTTCCACATTTTCAGTCATGATAATGATAAGGGGCATTTATGTCTTTTCACACACACACACACACAAGATATGGATATGCTACTATTTATCAATTATGATACCGTCTTTTTCGTGATTAGGTATCCAAAGTCCACAAGAGTTAGAGGAACAAGCTCAGTAGTGTCAGGCAACCACGTGAGTTTCAGTTTTGTGGTCTTAAACGATCCCTCAAGATGCAAAACCCCAATTAATTCGGTCACATTTCCGTTTTTGTCCTTGTTGATCTCTTTAACAATCGCATTTCCCCAGTCCATTAACGTAATTTCGTCGTTAGGCAATATGGCCTTGGCATCGGCTTGTTCTATCCAAATATTTTTGGTAAAAGTGGTGGTTTTATCCCCTGCAGCAGCGTATTTCTTGTGCTTTGGTATGACACGCACAAATGGCTTGTGGGGCCCATCTAATAAAGTCAACAAGACACGGTTCTCTTCAAGGATTGCAGTGTGTCTGGGGCAAACAGGGTCGATCATTTTTTTGTTAATGCTCCAGAGTTTGTCCGATTCCATAACATTCAGATTCATTGATGCTCCCTGTGAAAAAAGAATATTAAGATTTTGTTGTTATTTTTAGAAAATGAAAACATAAGTTAACTGAAATCATCAAATTTTGTTAAAAAAAGTTGTATTGCAAATTTCCATTCCATTCAATGATTAAGGGGTGAAAATTTAACAAAACAGAAGGAATCGGAATCGGAATCGGAATCACGTTGTTTAGGATTGGTCCATTCCATTCCAACACGAAACAAACATTCCATTCCATTCCTTCTCAATTCCATCATAAAAAAAAAAACTACCCAAGAGAATGATATGCCATCTCGGGTTTCACCTTTAACTTTTTTAATTTTTCAAAAGCATAAACTCCAACATAAATTAATTGCTGTTATTATTGAACAACTGAACTGCATTGCTATTATGTTATGTGAAAAGTAATGTAAATATGTTACTATTATGAGAAGAAACATAAAAGTACATTGCGATTATAGGTAAAAAAAATATAAACTAACTTGCTAATTTAGATTGTAGAATATACTTACTTGTTCAAGTATAAAGTGTATCAAAGCCTGAATTTGTAAACCTCTGCGCACAATTCCTTGGACAGTTGGAAAACGCGCATCATCCCATCCATCAACCTTGTTATTTTCAACAAACCAAAGCAAATTCCGTTTACTTAAAACTGTATAAACCATATTCAACCTGCTAAACTCATATATATGAACTTTCCTAAGCCCCATATCCTCTTGAATCCTTGAATACTGAGGATTTCTATCATGATACTCACTGGATCTCAACATGTGTGTAATCCCTTCAATAGAATCAACAACAGGACATGCAAAATCATACGTCGGATATATTTTATACTTTGATCCGATTCGGTGATGTGGAATCGGATTACACCGATAGTAAGTCGGGTCCCGCATTGATCCATTGTTATCGGTCATGTCCAACTTACCACGTAAGCAACATTTCAGTCCCTTTTCTGTTCCGAGAATCATGTCATTCCATAGTTTGAGGTTTTCATCGACACTCTGATTCCGACATTTTGATTCTATTTTCTTGTCTCGCTCGTGTTTCATTTGTTCTTTGGGGGTGTAGTCGACGTATGCTTTCCCTTCTTTAATAAACTTTTCAGCCATTTCCATGAGATTCGGAAAGTAATCGGAAGTATACGTGATTTTTTCGAACTTGATTCCTAAAGTCCCGATGTCTATTAGAATATTATCAACAAATTCGTTGCTTTCTTTTGCAGGATTCGTGTCATCAAACCGTAGGATTACTTTCCCGTTGTATTTCTGAGCAAAATATTGGTTTAATAAAGCGGCTTTTGCATGGCCTATGTGGAGATAGCCACTTGGTTCAGGTGCAAATCTCAACAAAACTTTTCCCATTTCAGCATATGGAAGATCCACTTCAGGGCGATTGGAATTAACAATTTCTTTTACATTTGTTGAACAACTGGGCTTTGATGACTCTTTTTTCTTTGAGACAGCAGATTCCATATCTACAAAGAAAAAAGCATTGTTTATCCACCAGAATATATATCATAAATAACTTTATGTACTTGTATATATGTGTATAAACCATAAGGGGATTTAAGACTGAACGGAATGGAGACGTTAAAATCGGTCGCTAGGCTCGCTAAGCTCGTTGAAACACCGCCCCTTAGCAAGCGCTAAGGGACTCACTAAGCCATTCTCGTTACATCCTTGACGAGATGAGAGAGAAAGAAAAGGGAGACTGTGATTGGTAAAAACGATCCAGAATCTTTCCACAAAAACGATCCAGAATCTTTCCACAAAAACGATCAAGAATCTGATTAAATTTCCGGTGATTCAAGGCCCACCGACGACAAGTTCTCAATCTCCGACGATTCAAACCCCATTCAAACAACAGAAACCCAAATCCAAGAAATCTAAATCAAAAAGGAAGTTGCAGGTGGTCGGGGATGGAGAACTCGACGGAGATGGAGACCTCGTTGGTGGGTCTTGAATCATGGAAAATATCATTGTCACAGTGTATCTAAATTTTCTGAAGATGATGAAATCGTTTAGCAATGAGGATGATTTTGAAAAAAAGTTTCTTGAAGAAAACGTTAATTTGAAGAGAGATAAATGAACAGAGAAGTTGTGAGTATGAGAAAAGACTTTTCACAGAAGAATTTTTCAATATTAATTAAAGTTAGGTAGAGGAGTGATTTCTCGGTATCAATTAAAGTTAGGGAGAAAATTAATTGAAATAAATTAAAAAATAAAAATTAGCACCCTTTAAAAAATATAATTTAATTAATTTTGAAAAAGAAAAAAAATAGAGTGTTAGGAATGTTACCACTCCCTATGAAATGTTAATATTTAGATGCTAAGACAAAAAGATGATGTGGCAGGCAAAAAATGATATGGCAAGATGCTAAGAGTGTTACCAAAAAATGATATGGCAAGATGCTAAAAGTGTTACCACTTCCTCTGGCCTAAGAGGAACCAAAAAAAAGTGACTGTTGATGGAGTTTCAAGTAGTATAAGCAGACATGTACACATCTACAACTCTACAAGGGAAAAAAAAGACATGGACGCATCTACAAAAACACAGTTTTTACAAACACGCCATTGGAGTCCAAGAACACAATTTTTACAAAGGATTTGGCCCCAGGGAGTAAAAATTCAAGCAAAAAAACAACCACTATAAGAAGAACAACGACGACAGTAGGAGAAATTGAAGTTCGAACCTTAAAACTTATTTGCTGAAATCGAATGATAGGAGGAGAAATCGAAGATCGAATTTCGATCATCAGATAGATACACGACGGTAAAAGAGGGCGGCGGCGAAGATACTGGTGGTCGGAGGCGGCGAGGGCACTGGCTGACGGAGGTGGCGACGGCACTGTCGGACGGTGACGGCGTAAGGATGGAGTCGATTGAGGGAGGATGGCGTTGCTGAAGACTTTGAGAAAGGACTTTTTTTAAGTTAAAAAGGGAGTCCCAAACACACCCTAAACCTTGTGCACCAAGGTAAAAGAAAGAAGCAAAGGAGAATCGAAGGGATTAATTTCACGTACAAAGCACAAATACGAAATAAAACTGAATAATTGACATCTATTTATATTAAAATCCTATTCTAATACCAATATTAAAAGACAACCGTCTATAATCAAAAGTTTTTTTATAATAAAAGACTACAACTATTAACACGTGGCATGCATTTCCTGCACCCAAGTCAATCTATTTTTCCCGCCTATTTTGCAAAGTGATGTTCCAAAATTGCCCTTATAGTCATTTATCATTACTTGTCTTGTATGTGTATCTCATTCCGTTTTTTTTAGGAATTTAATGAAAGAAATAAATGGTGATTCAACGATATTCCGAAGTTAAAAGATCAAATCATATTCTACCTTGGTTTCCCTAAAAATCTGCATACAAATCTAGAAATTAAATAACATAAATTAAAATCCCTTAACAAATGGATAGATAAATTAGATTTAAAGAATTTATATCTTTATTTCTTAAAGATCGGACCAATATATTATATATTTTTTGGTAACTTGATAAAGATTATAACCGTATATAATCGTCACCAAATCATTTATTGAATATTATATTTTGCGATTTATCATTTTTTATTTTTTCATTTTCAACTTTGTTTTTTCAATTTCATCACCCAAATAACTCAGTGCAGTTGGAATACCAATTTTCCTGTTCCTGAAGTTTAATAGTTCAAGTCCGTGTAATTATTTCCCCTTCATTATGCATTATCTTATCTGTGTAAATATAATCAACACTTTTATACCCCATATTATGAATTATGTTTTATATCAATGTCAATACAATCAACCTTTTATACTTGTGTGTTAGATAAATATTCTAGATTTTTTAAAAGGGTTAATAAAATAACAAGTAAATCTTCTTGGCTTGAGGTTGATGACCATCTTGATGGGTGGTTTGAGATGGTCTATACTGTTTCAGACCTTGATATTTGAGATGGCTATTGGTTATTTATTTATTATTTTTTTTGTAACTATACCAATATACGATCCTACTTATTTTTTTTTGTATCGCATGTATGCATTTCTGTTGTCTTATTTAAAAAAAATCAATTTAAAAAAAAAATCTATACATAGTCGAAGAAGTTGTACGAATTGGATGAAATGGTGAAGACCACTTGAAGTAAAAAAAAATACATAAATACTTAAAAAAATACAGTTATATATTTAAAATACATAAACATCTATATAATTTTTTTTTAAAAAATACATATGAATACGTAATATATAAAAAAACACATCAAAATACAAAAAAATATGTAAAATACCTAAAAAATACATATAAAATGTAAAAAAATACGTTGATACATTTAAAATACATAAAAATATATAAACATCTATATAAAAAACTTAAAAAAAATTACATAAAAAATAACACATAAAATAAATTAAAAAAATATATAAAATACTTAAAAATGCATATAAATACGTTAAAAATACGTTTATAAATTTAAAATATATAAACAATGTAAACATATACATATAAAAACTTACACAAAGACATAAATACGTAAAAATATAAATAAATAAATAATACATAAAAAATAACACATAAAATTACATACAAAATGTGTAAAATACTTAAAAATATATATAAATATGTAAAAATAAGTTTATATATTTAAAATAAATAAAAATGCGTAAACATATACATATAAAAACTTAAAAAATACAAAAGTACATAAAAATAGATATAAATACATAAAAAATACGTTTATAAGTTATATATAAGTTTTGACGAAATCTGCAAAAATATCTCATTATTTTGGAAAAATTAACGATTTGATCTTATGACTTACTGAACATGTCAAAAAGAGCTAAAACGAATAAATTAACCGATTTCTTAAGCTTTTCTCTTCAAAAAAGTTAAAAAATCAAGAATTTTCTATTTAAAAAAAATGTAAAATTTATTAATTTTTTTTAAAATATTAAAACTTTTCTATAGATTTACCAAAAGATTACTAATAATTAAATTGAAAATGTAAATTCTTTTTACTATGCCGCTGTCGAAGAGACATGAGATCCACGTCCATTGATTCTTAAATTTGAGCACCCTCATTTTGACTTGGTTTGACTTAAAAAGTAGATGAATTTCAAATTAAAATATTTAACTATCTACTTCAAAAACACTCAACATGAGAGATGATCAGATGAGCAAGTTCTACTCGGATAGATAGATAGATCATCGAAAAATAACATTGTAAACTTCTACATAAACTGCTCGTCGACAAATTGAACGTTTGAGCAAATGTTACATAATGTTTACCAAATAAATTATAACATTATTTTGATGAAAAAACGATATGAAGAAAGCTATAATAGTTCTTGAATCACCAGGGCTTCATCATACCAATCACGATGATCGGTGGCAACCCTTAGTCGATTTTTGTATTCATCTTCACATTCAAATGGCAACATGGGAGTTCGGCAAACTGGACAAGTGTCTTTGGATTCATTCATCCAACAATCCAAACAACACTCATGAAAAATATGTGTACAGTTCTTCAAACATCTAATCTTGTCATCTCTTGTAAACTCATTCAAGCAGACTGCGCAGCTTGTTGGCAAATATTTCTTCTGAATGTTCTTGAACTTTGTGACCACAAGGACTTCACGTGTCAATACTGCCAAGAGGAGAAGGCTTTTGGATGGTTTCTTATGATGGGCATGGTGAGATTCGACTTCATGAGAGATACCGATGAAGGGAAATAAGAATAGAACGATATTTTGAATAAAACATAGAAGAGAAAATACGTATAGAATATATTTTGAAAGCCCCGTTTCTTTGAAACCCATATAGAAACCCATCGATGTTCTTGTATATGTAAGAAAAAGGAGGTATTAGATATGCTTCTTTGTTCACTTCAACCATTCATATAGATGTATGTGTGTGTCTATGTTTGTGAGTAGGGTTATCTTGATTGCATTAAAGAATAATCTTCTAGACACAAAAATAGTTTAAAATTACAAAATGACGTCAGTGCTAAGCACTAAAGCTCAGGAAACTACGTAACAGGTTGATGCTAAATCCATGTTTACGTCATCAATTGCGATATAGGATATATCGGTCTAATATTTAATTCGTTTTTATTTGATTGAAATTCTTTGGAAAATATATAAAGGCTAGATCTTGCTGCTATTCTTATGAATTGTTCGTAGGAACTTGTAAAATATAAGCCAATTTGTCAGGAAAGATAGAAATGTGATTTCCTACATTAATTTTTAGCTAGGTAAAGGAAATGTGTAGAGATAACGGTATCGAAAAAAGTGCCCAAGGTACTCGTTAGGCTATATGGGCATATGCTGAGAGAGCCATATCACGATGTGAAACCCATCTCTAATTTGGCAATATAAGAGTTTGGGTTATGATATCTCCCGAGCACAAAGCATAACATATACAACTTGATAGAATCATATCTTTTTTTTGATGAAGTAGAACTCTTCTCTAGTGATTGACCAAAAACAATACAACAACTCTTTGACAATTATTTGTCGGTGATTTTAATATCATCAATTCATTTTAGTATAATGAAATCTACAGATTAGCAATGAAGTTTAATTCTTGATTTTATTATAAGTTAGAAACTTGATAGAATCATATTTTTTTGATGAACTAGAACTCTTCTCTAGTGATCGACCAAAAACAATACAACAACTCTTTGACAATTATTTGTCGGTGATTTTAATATCATCAATTCATTTTAGTATAATGAAATCTACAGATTAGCAATGAAGTTTAATTCTTGATTTTATTATAAATTAGAAAGTGCAGGGTGAACGTTTGTATAAAACAAGTTTGATCTTGGTTCGACCAAATGACGGGGGTCAAAGGGGTTGCACCTCCTTATGTGATTTTGGAGGCACCACCCCAAGCAAGGTCCTTAGAGACGCGGCCCTTGACGAGGGTTAGCAGGTGAGCCAAAATCTAGTTTGTTAAGGAAAATATTATTTTTGGATATTATTTTCGATAATTAGATTGAAACTGCCATCATTTGTTTATGAGATAAAATCAACAATTAATTCTGATTGGTGTTTATCTTTGGTAATTAGATGAATTCAAATTCTATATAAACCCTAGTTGATGGTCTCATATCGGTGCCTTGATATAAAATTGTTCCTTGAAAGATTATCCCCATAATATGAATTTCGTATAACACAGACATAGGGTCGACATTTAAGATTCGGAAAGTGTTCACATGATCCTTCATGAAGATCCAAGTTACTTTTTGATTTTCAGAAACCTTCTTCTCCTCCCAAACTCCAACAATCGAATATGATATTGTGACAACCCATAAAATACGTCACCAACCGCCGTTAATAGTTAACGATAGGACGTAAAAATGTAATAAGGACAACCTTATAACCACCCGATATATTTTAATATATTCGAGTTTTCCGTCCTTAATTACGTCAAATATTAGACTAAAAAATAAGTGAGCAAAAAGCCGCGTCACTTCGAAAATAGGTTAGCATATTTAGACTCCTTCAGCGATCACGATTCCTAAAATATAAATTTCGCAAGAATCCGACAGTATAAGTGAGATATGACATTTATAGTAAATAAATACTTACCGTACTTAAAAACTTACAACGACGAAAACTACAAGGAGATTGGTCGACTTTTGGAAAAAGTCACAAACTACGTAATCGTAGTACTACATAAAGTAGGAATTATAAGGCAAGGAACGCCTAACACGGAAACCATATGAGAGAGCTATGATTTTTATAAAATCATAACGGTAATAAAAACTCGTCGAAAAACGAAAGTCAAAACTAGACAAAACGAACAAAATGAACGTTGTAATGAATGAGGAGACCTATATGGATATAGAAGATTCGTTGAGAATGAAGTTCATATGCGAGAGTTACAAAATTTCAAAATTTAATTTTTACCGTCACGTGCGCACTGCATCGCACACACCTGACACTCGATACGTTTAGATACGGGATGACCTGACACGCTGAGACTAGGACACGTGGCAGCAATCTATGGTTCACGCATATTTACGCAGCACACACTCCAAATCTTGCTATAAATAACAAGTTTTGATAGCTTAATTTCCTCACCCCTCTCATAAGTTCTCTCTACCTCGATTTGCGTGCCACTTCGAAGTGCTAACTTGTGGTTTCTACCCTACAACAACGTTTTAATAAGTCATAGTTGAGTTCACGGCCCCATATTCCAAACCTTTTCGGGGGGGGGGGGGAGGATACATGTAAAAAAAATGCAACTTTACATAGTTATTACTAATTACAGTTAGATAATTATGCTCATAACAATATGATGGTATTATGCCTGGTAGATACGATATGTCCATACTTTGTAGCTAATATTATGCCTAGTTGTTATACTAAACCACAATGATAGATTAGATCACACCTAGTTGTCACACTGGCCAGTCGGCAGGAAAAGCTGAAACTCACTCTTATAGCCACCGTTTGGATAAGCTTAGTACCTAGTGGTACTCTGCCCAAATACTTGGCTACGCAAAACACAGTAATATATATATATATATATATATATATATATATATATATATATATATACGTATCAGATAAATAATGTATATGATAAGTAAAACCGTATGGATACATTGCGAATAACAACACGACCGACCAGGGGAGCCCCCCACAACAAGAGTTACATGAGGCATGATTCATCAACATGCTGATATATTTTCAGTTAGCTCCCGGCATATAAAAGTTCAATCTTAGTAAGTGGGAAAGATATGTATAGATCTATACGAGATTGACACTCCCAACTGTGGTTGCTAGCTACAGCCTAATAGCAAGTCGAAGCAGGCATCACTTTCTAAACACATCGCGATGTCCGATGAAGCGTCATGGTTTTCAAGATCAACAATCATAGCTTAATTATAGGAACTCCTTGTAACTTTGTTAAACTAAAACTTAATATCTTAGACTACTACTAGGAACCAACCTAAGAAAGTAGTGGTAGTCTACACAAACTTGAGGAAGCAAGTTTAGGATAAACAAGATAAACAAAAATACCCACACCACACTTTAAAACCATAAACCTGTGGACTCACCAACATTATGTTGACCTCTCAAACCACATGTATTCTCAAGGGAATAAACCCTACTAAAGGATGAGATAACCCTGGTGACGCAGCCCGGAGTTTATGTGATTTACTTATGTATTTTGCTTTCATAACCTAACTTTACCTTGAACAATTATGTAACTTATTTTATTTAATGAATAAATAGCAATGTTGTTTAGTACATTCTAAGATTTGGCATAGCAGTGTGCAGCCCGTAACTCGAATTATAGATCGAGCAATTTTTAGCCGACACAACCTAAACGAGAATCGAAGATCTTGTCGATTGTAGTTTAACGGTAAAAAGACAGACAAAAACGGACGTTGGATGAAGAAGTTATGAATTTTTAATGAACTTTTCCTGTCCCGGCCTGTTAAAAATATAACTTTAAAAATAAAGTCAAAATTAGCCGACGGAGTCTAAACGAACGTCGGATGAAGAAAGTTGTAGAATACGGTCCGAGACTGGCCACGTCGCCCTATTCCTTCGCATGGTGCACACGTGTTTGTAGCTGTGACGTGTCCGAAGTGATCCGCTCCTACGCCCAACGTACTCGGTCTACGCCCAGTGTAGAGCCTTGCAAGGCAGTATGCCCCACATACCAGGAAGTTACGCCCAACGTAATGCCAGGCTTCGGCCACTATAAATAGAAGTGCGAGGCTACCCGATTTATGTTTACAAAACTTACACTTTTACACCCTAAACTTTCTTCTAAGCTATCCTAACGTCCCCGAAGCCTAGGGAATCACCCGAAGCAAGCCCCGGAGCACCCGAAGACCCCAAGAAAAAGAGTTTTTCAAGTCGAAACTCTGCCTGTCCATAGTCCGGTTTTTGAGTAAACCTCCCGGTTTTATCGAAAAAGATTGTTTTAAGGGATGAAGTGTTGTCCAATCACCATCTTATCAAGTGAGTGTATAGTCACTTTCATCTTACACAAAGATATGAAGTATTTTATATAAAATACGTGTTATGTGTTTATATGTTGTTAGTTTATTTGAGATGGATGTTGAATGAATGTTTTTTACATGTTTAGAATGATTTAAACTTTATATGTATTTTTTATCTATAAATATGTCGGGTATAACATGGGTAGATGAAATAGTTGATGTGTGATGAAATAAAATGATGAGAGGTCTCGATGTTGATGATGTTCCAGTCATCTAGCAGAATATAGATGACAACCATAGACTTTTCTAGACAGTCCAGTGGAACATTAGCAGGCTCGTAACCTGTAGGTGTTTTTGAACTATGTGTTCATTAGGTGTTTTTGAACTATGTGTTCATTAGATATTTTTGAACTATGTGTTCATTATGTATTTTTAAATTGAGTGTTCACTAGGTGTTCATTAAGTATTTTTGAACTAAGTGTTTACAAGATATTTTTGAACTACATGTTTACCAGATGTTTTAAACTATGTGTTCAGCAGTTGTAATTTAAGAACCCTGGCAGCGATGGACTTTGTGCCTATTCCTTAGGATAATCCTTAGGAATGAATGAATGAAGGACAGGTGATTCTTAAGATCTTTAAGAATAAAGAAGATAATGGGGATGAGAAATTGGGTTGATTGTTTGATGTTTAAATATAACAAATTTATTTATTGTGGGTTGAAAACCCTATGTGCTCACCAGGCTCCCAAGCCTGAGCCACTCAGCTTTCTATATTACAGGTAGTGGAACAAGAGCATAGTTGGATGATGACGAGGGATTTTGGATTATAGGCCAGTAAATGTAAATAAAAGTTGTAAGG